TGGCGGCAGAACCTTACGGAGAGGCAGAGCCATCGGCGGACCACGTAAGGTGTGTCAATCCCCACCCCTCCAGGTTGGGATGGTAAAACTCAGCCAGGTGAACTTTTGAACCCTGGGGCAGCACTGACCCGGGGCAGAGACTTTTGGGGTGTTGGACTTTGGGTGATTTTTTTGGGTTGCTGGACTTAAGAGACTCTTTGGGTGTTGGACTTTTGGGACTTTGGGTGATTTGGGGCTGGGAGAAGGGTCTCTGCTCATGTTTGGTCTATGAATCTGAGTTGTGGTGTTTTCCCAAGTTAATGCTGATGTTGGTTACCTCATGTTATTAAAGGTTTGCTGCTATACTGAGGCTCTGTGCTTGCGAGAGGGGAAGAACTGCCTCTTTGAGGCGCCCAGAGATGTATGTAAGATTTCCCAGGTCACTAGGTGGGGACTTGAGCTGGTGTTGTATTACCTTGTTGGGACGAGACCCCTAGATACTGAACCCAGCCCTCGCTGCTATTAATTCGGCCTGGCAAAAGGGTTACACTAATATCTATCATTAGCCCCAATAAAAACATAATACATTGCTTCTCTTTCCCAGTTCTCCCAAATACTGTACTTGTTTTTAATTATCTTTAATGACATGACCATTTCATTAATTTTAATGAAATTCACACAGGCTTTCCCAGTCATCTTAATACATCATATTTCATAGTGCTAACCTGTTATAGGATACAATGCACAATTGTCTTTCATACAAACTGCATCCCACAAAGCTTCTTAAATAACGAGAGCCAGAGGCTCCCTAAAGTTAGGATATAGTTACAAAGTCCAAGTAAAAAAATATTACTGAAAGATACGGAAATGAATAATCAAAGACAAGGAAGGAAAGATATATTCTAGAAGAAATCTGAAAATTGGAGAAGATTGATGGAGCAGAAGAATACAGAAACCTTTTGCTTCTAGGATAATTTATGAATATCTGTGTTATATCAGCTGTCAAATTATGCAAATTGCAGATAAACAAATATCAAGTTGCTATTTAAATAATGTGCAGATTCAAAGCCCTAGGAAAAAAAATTACAAAACCCATGAATTGCATGTGCAATTTTTTAAATGATTTTTTCCTACATTTTACTAAAAAGATGATGGTATAGATTCTCCTTATCCCCTGGTCATGTATAAATACACAACATCAACATAATTGGATGTACACATAGACCTGTATCTATTCCCAGTAAAGTCAATAGCAAAAGTGCATTTACTTCAATGGAAGCAGGTTCTAGTGAATCATAGAATCCCAGGGCTGGAAGAAACCTCAGGAGGTCATTGAGTCCAGTTCCCTGCCCAAAGCAGAACCAATTCCAACTAAATTATCCCAGCCAGGACTTCGTCAAGCTGGGACTTAAAAACCACTAGGATGGAGATTCAACCACCTCATCCAGGTCACTAATAAAGATGTTGAATAAAACAATTCCTAGAACCGATCGTTGAGGCACTCCGCTAGAAACCGACTGCCACCCTGACATTGAGCCGTTGATCACTACCCATTGGGCCCGACAGTCTATCCAACTTTTTATCCATCTTACTATCTGTTTATCCAATCCATACTGCCTTAACTTGCTGGCAAGAATATTGTGGGAGACCGTATCAAAAGCTTTGCTAAAGTATCATAAGGTTACAATGATTTAAATCAACAAACTGTATTGGTCTGTATCCCACAATCCTCTGTAACCAATAAAGTAATTTGTTAATAAAAAGGAACAAACAGGAGGGTGGAACAGATGCTAGATAGAAGCACTACTGGTATTGTGCAGGGGTAATTTGCAGTTGCTGTAATGTGAGGTTACTGCTGGTCCTATTTTTTTCTTGACTTATTCATATGAGTTGTCCCATTGCTTCCAATTAAACTACACATACAACTAAGACAAGTAGAACTGGCCCTGCAAAGCACCTATTATTCATATTCTGTGTTACTATTCTTAGGTAGTTATTCTGGCAAGGTGCCTGTTAATGTGGAAGACTGGAAAAAATAAAGTACTCAGTGAAGCTCACCTACAAAAATAATGGTTCCAGAAGAAAAGTTGCAGACATAGTATTAAGTCCTTATGAGTAAATATTTTCCTGTCATTCCATATCCAGTTTTACAGAGACCAAATATTCTGGGGAAAACACCACCACCAATTCAATAATACTTCATGCTTCGAGTATTTCATGAGAAAATGCTATGTTTCATACATATCTTTTTGTTTAGAAAAATTTACATTTCAGTTTTAATATTTATGGTTTAGACTACACAAAGCATTTGGTTTTATCTATTTGAGGAAAATTTGTCATATATTTTGCCTTTCTTCCATTTTAGAAAGGGACATTGATTCTTTTGACCACAAAGTTCACCTTAAAATCTGATCTGATACTTTATTCCCCTCCCTCCATTTCTCTTTTTGTAAAGGGCATCTTTATTTGTAAATTGTTTCTATTAAAGAAAATGAGAGAAAATCAAGTTGTTGCTTACTGTTCAAAATCACTCCATCTACCTTTTCATAAGTGTGACATTTTGTTCAAATCCAATATGACACACAGTATGGCTTTTGGGATACACCTTTACCACTGCTTTCTGCTCTCACAGCTAACAGGCAAAAGTAAAAGTATTTAAAGATTACTTTAAATCGTTCCATCTACTGATCACATTCTGGATACAAGTATTTTTAGTGTTTACTTCTTCTTTATGACAAAAAATCACATCAGAAAACCTCAGCCATAGCAAAACAAGTTCACATTTGTGCAAGATTTAGGACTGCTGTGCAACAGTGAACATTCTTAATTTTCCAATAGCTTTTTGTTGAGTCTGACATTTTAAAGTCAAAAAACAAAACACAAAATAATTTACTGTTTGTTCTCCTTTATGAGGTATGATAGCCGAATAAGTACTTTTGGGAGGCAGAAGTTGGCTTTTTTGTTTCTTTAACTCATGTCTTCCTTACATCTTTTTCCTAGAAGACTCTGGGAAAATGAGAGAGCTGGAAATGAGAGAGCTGTTTCACGCAGTGATTCCAAGTCCTCAAAAAACAGTTCTGTCCTCCAGTTTAAAAAATAAGTAAGTCACATCATGATACTGTAGTTTAAATTTTCCTTTTGATCACAATGGTGCAATGAATCCCACTGACATCAGGATTGTATCATTTTAATTGAGAAGAAAATTTTGCTGTTTTTTAGCAGAAAAGAAGCTACTACAGAGTTCAAATTACTATAAACATTAAAAACAAAAACAAATAAAAGCCCACTATCAAGAGGTCAGTTTATTATATATATTAAAAACTAACAAACATAACCCCACTATGAAAAGGTCAATTTATTCTAAATATTACAAACAATAACAAAAAAAACCAGGTGCTTTCTTTTTTGTGATATCTGTACAAATAAGATTGTAAATTCTGTGGGTGGAGACTTTAATAAAATCTTGTATCTGTGAAGTATTATGCACATCTTGGACATTTTCTAGTAAGGTTTTATACTGTTACCCATCACTGAAATATGTGAATGTCTTCCATTTAAAATCAATAGCAATACTGAAAACCTGATTAGAATGTATGATGTCTCTGAGTCATCTCCTTTTTTGGGGGATCTGCTTGGGGGTATGGTTTTTGTTTAGATTTTTTTAAAGAAACAATTAAATTCCTCTTTTGAATGTTTTGATTAGCAGATGTTTAGGAATCAAAGAGATGGAAGTGCTGTGAGTGTCATTCTTGTGGCTGAGAGTCTATTTTTAAAGAGGAAATAATTTATTCTTCTATCATTACTTTGAAAATGAAAAATGGGATCAGACAGCATGTGTTGAACATGCTTTTCCTTGCCAGCATAGACCTAGATATGTTAAAATCACTTTAGGTCCATTTACTAGGTTGGTTTCCAACTGTGGCCTTGTCTTCAGTGGAAAACTAGCCATTATCCTGAAGCCATTTTTTACAAAAGAGTTTCACAAAATCCTGCAAAACCCCAACAAAGAGGTTGTGTTAGCCAGTGCTAGTTCATGTCGAGATGGGTGATGGAGAACTTTTTTTTTTAAATGATACTCTGGAGTATTATTTAACCAGACGCTGTTTACAAGGGTGGAATATGAATCCAATGTATAGGTCTTTACAAAACAGATGCAATTACCTGGCTAGATGGGCATGTCTCTGCATAGCTACCTCTTTCAATGCAAGCTCTAAACATGACAGAGGATAGCATATCCAAATGTAAAATGTAAATCTCCTTCCCTCATTTTCTCTGGCTGCCTTAACATGTCTGTTAGCATGTTCTGCAAATGATAAAACAACGACGAAAGAAGAACCCTCGTTTATACGAAATGACAATTGCTCTAATTCTGCTCCGGGAGGCTATGGGGGGAGGAAGGCTGCACAGGATCTGGGCTGCGCGGGCTGTAAAGCCCTTGGCATCGTATCGATCTGGACAGCTGAGTTTGTCTGCAAAGCCTCCGGCGCCCTATGGCTTTCTAGCCAGGGCGTCTGGATCCCCAAGGGCAGCCCGCGGGTGGGCAGGGCACGGAGAGGCCCGCTGTTCCGCACGCCCTGCAGGCAGCCCGCGGGGGAGAGGCCACGCGCGGAGGGGAGGCACCTCACTCCAAGCGGCTACTTTTCCGCCACCTCGCTAGCCAGCTCCTCCTCCCGGGGCTCTGGGTGTCGCTGGGCCGGGTGTCTCCAGAGGAGGGCCTTGCCCGGATGTACTACACTGACTCATAATCCAATCGACACAGGCAGCGAGACACACACACTCGCTGCGCTGAGCTGCGCCCGCTTCACTCTCCGCCTCCCGTCCCCGACAGCAG